CTAAGTCGAACTCCTAAGGACAGTCTGTCTGGTCGAGAGATGTTGAGAGAGGAGCCGCACGCGTGTAGCCGCAGGCCCTGCACTATGCTGGGTTGGGCCAGGTGGGCTCTGAGGCCTGCTCCGGGTTTCCCCAGAGCAGATATTTTAACCAGGTACCTTATCCAGAACGAGTGGGGTGATCCAAGATGCTTGCTCCCTAGTGGACTGAGCTGCCCTGCCCATCAATGAGGAACAGGGCACTTTGGGGATGGCTGGTGTGGAGCTACTAGGCCAGGGGGCAAGGGCTCCAGAGGCTGCCCCTGTTGGGCTGGCTGCAAACAGTCCCATGTGGCTGTTTACTGTAGGACTACCACCCGGGCACAGGCCCTCTGGGGTGGCCTCTGCCACGTGAGTGTGAGCTCAGGGTGGATGGGCACATCTGGGCTGATATGCCCTCTCCCCTCCACTTAGCGCTGTGGCCTGCTGATACTGCCACTGCTCCCTGGAGGGGAGCAGATGCCAGGAGGAACTCAAGGCCCTTGGGCCTGCCTGCTTCAGGCCCTGGCTTCCCTGTCCTCAAAACAGAGCAGGAAGTGAGCCTAATGCCACCTCGCAGCCCTAGAGAAGAGAGAAAAAATACAGCTCTGTGGTGGGCATAGTGACCAGGGGCCTTGGCCCTCACAGTGACGCCTAGAGGCCAGGGAAGTGGGGAGGACACCCAGGGTGCCAGTGGCCTGGAGCACTCAGGGACAGCCTTAATGCAGGGAAGTTTTTGCTCCCTGGAGATTGAAGGCTCTTGGACCCTGACTGGCCCAGTAGACACATACACTTACCACAGGATACAAGGACCACAAAGCTCAAACCTAGGGCTGAGAATGGGGATGAGGGAGGCCTGGGCTAATGCCCTACTTAATAAGAGTTTTTAAGGAGTGGGTGAATGTGCTCATAACAGTCACTGAAGTGGGGGAGCCTGGTGGGTGTTCTGGGGCCACCCCTATAGCTGCTGCTGCCTGCTGCTGCTGCTGCTGCTGCTGTTGCTGCTGCTGCTGCTGCTGCTGCTGCTGCTGCTGCTGCTGCTGTTGCTGCTGCTGAAGGTTCCGGGTGGTGGATTCCTCAGCGGCACGCAGCAGGAAGGTGTAGTTCCTTACCACCTCTTCTACCTTGGCCAGCAGCTCTTGGCGCTGGGCCTCTGAGCGCACAATGAACACCAGCCGCACGAAAGTCTCAATGAGGCTGCTCAGCACCTGGAAGCTTCCCGTAATGGCTGCCAGCATGTGAGTTGGGCTCTTGTCCACATTGGCCACACGGCGGCAGGAAGCCCGAAGCTCCTTGAACTTGAGAGCCAGCTCGAGCTTGTACTCAGAGATCTGAGAGACGTAGGGCTTGGGGGCACGGGCTTCGGGGCTGGCTACACACTGCCGCAAGACAGTCAGCAGCTCATTGGTGTCTAGCCGGGCAGCCAGGAAGCCATCAGGCAGGCCATAGGCATGGGCCCGCAGGGCATTGATCTTGGCCAGGCTTCCCTCAAAGGTGGATACTCGCAGGTCAATCTCCTGGGTGCGGGAGGCCTCAGGGCTGCTGCTGCTGCTGCAGGTGGCCGCATCTAGCACTTGCAGGGTCCTGCTCACTACGGGTACCACCTGCTGATCCAACTTCATGCCGGGCAGAATCTTCATAGGGATGGAGTAGGACAGCTCGTCCTTACCATCGCTGACGTCATCTGCCATGTCGCACTTGCGGTAGTAGAAGCAGTAGCGGATGGAGCAGCACTTGCTGCTCTCACTATCCTCGTCCAGCTCAGCGGGCTTCTGGTACACCTCTTCTGGCAGTGAGAACACGGCCATCTGTCTGGGGCCTTTGGTCTCAGGGGCAACCTGGACATATGAGGGGTCTCCCAGGATTGGTGACTCCAGAGGCTTGCTTTTGGGACCCAAGACTAGGGGGAGGCCTGCCTCTACTTCCTTGGCCTCTCTGGGCAGCATACTCAGGGGTGGGTGTGGGTATACATCTGAGGTTAGCGAGGCCCTATCACCCTGATCCAGCTCACTGATACTGTAGCGGCGTATCAGTTTCCTGTAGTTGGGAGCTCCCAGACACTCACCCCCTGAGGCACACGTGGTCAGGCACGAAACACCACTCTCAGGGTCTGATCGGCACTCTCGGGATTCCAGGCTGGTGGAGCGGATGCGCCGGACATTGGTGGGACTGCTGAGGCTCAGGTCTGGGCCAGCCTCTGGCTGCCTCTGAGTAGGGGGGATCTTGTCCTTCTCCCTCCCCCGGAGGCCAGGCACTGGTGTCTGGGGAGCCTGTGGCCGGCCCCCTCGGCAGATGCGCTTGCAATCGCAGCTGCGCCTCTGCTCACGGGACATGCCAGGCCCTTGTTGCACAGGGCTGCTGCGTAGCTGGCAGCTGCAGCGGCCTGGTGCTGGGGGTTGCAAATACTCAGTGCCTGGCAGCTCGCCCTGGCTTGGTGGCTTTAGAAGTTCCTCAAGGAACTCCAGCTCATACTGCTTTACCTTCTGCAGCTGGGCCTGCCGCTCATCGGTCTCCTTTTTCTGGCGAGTTGGGAAGGTGGCAGAGAATAAATTGCGTAGCCGGAAAGTACCTCGGGATGATTTGGGCTTTGTAGGGCCTTCGGAGGTCCCGTGGGCTCCATCCAGGGTTGTTTCAAGTTTCCTAGAGGGCATGGTGCTCACCTGACGGTTGACAGCCTGGGGTCTCAGTGGGCTCTGGCCTTGGGACTGGCTGCTGGGGCTCTGCAGAGCCATGGGGTAGCTGGCTCGTGGGACCAGGCTGGTTTCCTCAAGCTTGCTGCTTTTGGGTATGCTCTACGTACTTATAGTAGGACTACTCTACATATTAAAAGAGAATTTGGAAGCGAGGTAACACCCTCTGACCCACCCCTGCCTGCCACATCCCCTGTAGCTTGCTTGCTCACAGACTCTCGACTTGCTCGCAAAAGATAGCTTTTGGGAGGGAAACTTTGAATAGGCAGCCTGTCTCCTTGTGGGGAGAGATGTAGGCTATCAGCCCGGCTGCATGCTCTGGAGCTGGAAGAGACTTCTGGGCTCAGCTGCTGCTGAGAATTCCGTGAGGCCTCTGGAGCACTGGGGCTCATTTTGAACTTAAGATTCTTATTGGCACTGCTGCTTATCATGCTGACTTCTGGCCTTCCCATGCTGGCCTCCAGCCTTCTCTCCCCACTGCTGAGGGTGTTCCCCAAGGCTCCGCCAGGGGCGGGTAGAATCTTAGTGTGAACCACCTGCGGTAGGGTGGCCGAGATGATAGCTGGAGTCACACTGCCCTTTGGGTCTAGGATAAGCTTGGGGCTCAACCTGACTTCCTTTGGTAGGTTCTCCCTTAGCTCAGAGACCTGCTCTTCACTGAGGGATGCTGTGGCCGCCCTCAGTGACATCTCTAGGCCTGCCCTAGTGTGGCCAGGCCCTTTGTCCTCAGGAACTGGGGATAACAGGCTCAAATTCTTCTGCTCATTAAGCTGTGGGGACAGTGCTGGGTGCACTGCTAGAGCATACGTTCGCTCTCGCTGTGGCTGAGCCTCTGACTGGGGCAGCTTTCTCCGAGTGCCAGGGGGGCCAGGACTCTGGCCTGGGATAGCTGGCTGGAGGGATGGATTGGGATCTGAGCGCCCAAGAGAGTAAGGGGCTGTGAGAACGGCCTGGGCTGCGCAGCTCTGGATGCGGAAGGGCAGGTCCTTGCGGGCCAGGAGACTGTCCTTTTTGAGGTGCTGGGCCAGGAAGTAGGTGGTATTTTGGTGCTGCTTCATGGCAGACATCATCTCTGACATGTCTGTGAGCTCCGAAGAGTTGGTTTCATGGCCCGAGTCCAGCGATGATTCAGGGGTGATTGTGGCCAGCACAATCAGACCTAGAGGAACACGGACAGGGCTTGCTGCACTGAACTCAGATCAAGTCCTTTACCAACCATATGTAGAGAGTTTATGGAGGCCAAGGTTAACCAGCAGTATTGCAAGCTGGGGGAAATAAGTCAGGCTTGGGGGAACTGCAGGACTGAGGGTGGGACGAGGGGGGTGAGGGGACAAAGGGAGTCAAGCTGGGAGAAGGGTTATGAAGGGCTGGAATCCGAAAGAGAAACAAAAGAGGCACAGAGAAGATCTGGGCAGTTTGATGGCAAATTAACATGCAAATCACATGCAAAACAACATGCTAATCATCACTATTTTTAGATTCCACAGCTAGGAAATTTTTGTCAATTGTCCTGAAGAGAGCTGGCAAAGAGAGGTCTCTCTTTATCTAGCCCTCCTAATCTGGCCAAGCCTGCCTGCTGTTCTTATAGCTGAGGCCATTTAGCTGAGCTTGTCCTCTCTCTGGCTACCACATAGGCCTCTATCCTAGGAGCAGTTAGTGCTTGGAGCTCCAGACTCTGAGCAAAAAGAAATGCCAGCCATGGGGGCAGAATACACGGGGGCTGCCTCACACCAGGGATGCCCTCACATACAGAAAAGGCAGGGGTTGGTACTCTCTCTGGTCAGTCAAGCTCCCTCTGACCTCAACCTCTTCACCTTCTCTATCTATACTTTCTCTCACCTCACATGCTTTCTCATATGCCTTACTCTTCCTTATTCATTTTCTGTTGCTGTACCACTGACCTCTTCTTTTTAAAGTATATGTATATGGAGGTATGTATGTATGACTATGGGTACATGTCCGACATGTGTATTTGTCTACAAGATGGACATACGTATGTCTGCAATAGGTAAAAGCATGCATGTTGTATCGTTCTCCCACCAAATCATAATTAATAATAGCTACTACTTACTGAGTCCTTCCTATGTGCTAGGCAGTGCTTAAGTGCTTTGTGTGAATGATCTCATTTAATCTTCACAACAACCCTATATGATATGACTATTGTTAACAAACCCATTTGACGAAAGTGAAGCCCAGGGAGGGTAAGTGCCCTGCCAAAGGTCACACTGAAAGTGAGAGAAGAATCCAGGACTTGGGTGTATCTGACTGAGAGCCCATGCTCTTAGGCAGTGTAAAGACCCCTGCCTTGAGCAGTGATGGCTGCTGGCTCCCCTGATCCCAGGTCAATAGGTGGTTACTTGGTCGTTTTTTTTTTTTTTTTCTCTTCCAGTCATGTGCATGCTGGATATTTTTTGCATGTCTTCTATATCTCTCACAATTTTGCTTTGATTCTCCATCCTGGCCTTGCTCTGTAGCTGTCATGGCCGCAATTCCTAGGGTCCATCTGCAAGACATTTCCAGAGATGGAATGGTAAGAGCCAGAGCTCTAGCTGGCGCTGAGCAGCAGACACCTGCCACAGCATCGTTGCTCCTCGACTCTATCTGAACTGCCTCTGGCCCATCCACTGCCCTGACATACCACAGTGACTTTGATCTCTGCTTAGGAAGCAGCAATGCCACCTGCTGGCCCAGCCTGGAAGGGAAGGCAAGAGGGAAGAGGAACGGGCTGTTGTTACCTGCAGTCTGTGGGGGTGGGGGATGTGGTCCATCCTCTGAGGCTGCCAGGGCTTCCAGAGCCTGCAGAGTGGACACCAGGGCATCATCTAGCTCCTGGGCATGATCTCGAACTGTCCGGGTCTGCACACTGTCAATCAATGTCACTGGTATCTCATCATACAGGAGCCCACGCAGGTGGCGTCCTTGCTCCTGGCTCTGGACAGCCCGGCGCTTGGGGTCATCCTCATCAGAACTGTTGTCTCGAAAACCAGGAGGTGGGGCAGCAATGGCAGGCAACAGAGAAGTGCTCTCATCTTCCTCTTCCTCCTCCTCCTCACTCCCAGGGGGTGGGAGGGACATCAAGTCTACTATATTGTCACGAGAGGAGCCGGGCCTCCCACCTTTGCGAGGAACCAGCTGCTCCTGGAGTTTGGCTTTGCAAGAGTCACAGTAGAAATTCAGGGCTTCAGCCCCAAGGGAATTGTCCAGGGTATAGGACCGGGACCTGCTGGCACAAGGCTCATGATCTAGGCTGGCTGCATCAAAGTCATCAGGGACCATATTGTAACCTTGGCCAGAGCTTTTGGATGTGGGGTCAGACTTGGTCCGGGGCCTGGTCTCCTCAAAGAAGATTAAGTTCTCATTGACATCTGGCCGGCTTTCTTGCTCCTTCCTTTGTTCACGCATATGGAGGTAGCAAAAGCTGACAAGCTCAGAGTTGGCAGGCGGGGGCGTGCAGTGGCTCGATTTCCTGGGGCTGGTGCCCATGCCGCCCACATAACTACTCTCCTTTTTCCCCAGGTGGCCCCCAGTGACAGGGCGGTGGGCGCTGTGCATGTAATCTAAACCCAGAAAGAGAATCAATAGATGAGCCCTGGTGCTGAGGACTGTGGCTGAGCTCTCTTGGCATCTCTGGCCTGGGTCTCTGGTGCACAGTTGGGTGACAGGTATGTAAAGAGAGCCTTACCTGGCTGCTACAGATTAGGGAAAGGGGAATCAACTGGCCATGTTGCTGCCAACCCTGTAAATAGAGTGAGTAGAATAGAATGGTCTGAGCTACTAATAGCCCTACCACCTCTGAAGTGGGAAAAGGCATGTGGTGAGGTGGGGTGGGAGTGAAAACCTTGGAATCTATACATAGATGAACTCTTATAAGGGTATGTCTGATCTGAGAGTCAGCTGTAAGCATACCTAAAGAAGTGTGATTTGTTTCATGTCCTTCTTGGAACTGTACTGTTCCTACACTTTTTAGGGCCTTTCCAACCTCCAGTACTCTTTCACTCTTGTGTTATGTTGGATGTCTTCTAGAAGAAGGAAAGAAATCCGACAAGTCACTAGTGCTTTAGTGGAAAATGTAAAACAGGCTATGTACAATGCCTGAGAGTTTGCATTTCAAAGAGGGCTGTCAGTAGAGGTACCCTAAAAGAATAAAGCTCTACTAGTAGAATTCTGAGTATCTGAATGTGTAAAGTATATAAGAGATATGCTGGGATATGCATATATGGGGAAAAGGGTCAGAAGAACATTCTTGTAATTCCTCAAATCACATTATTTCTCTGTATTCATACAGGGCCAGCCTGCCTGCTATACACACATGTGGCATAAAGGTTCTAGTCAACAGCTTTTAATGATGGTGGGTCTTCCCTCTGAGAATTATCTATATCAAATGCTTCATCTCTGAATGGCATCTCTCTCTTAGTCTGTTTTTGGGGCCCCTCCCCATGTTATCTGTGAGAATATACTCAGACAATGCCAAATCACTTTGCTATCAGCAGAGAGACAGGTGCCAAGCAAGCACTAATTTAGGCTAGGGTCATCACACACAATCCCATTTAATCCTCACAACGGCTCAGTGTAGTAGGTGCTATCATTATCCCCATTTTACAGAGGAAGAAACTGATCCAGTTGGTAATGTGATTTATCCAAGGTCAGATGAGTCATAAATGGCAGTCTGAATTTGATCCCAGGTCTGAGGGACCACAAAGCCCATGTTTTTAAACACTACCCTATACTTCATCACGATGCTCAAGATGTTGAAAAATAAAATGCCTTTCACATTCCAGTTTGACAGGGTCAATGTGTCAGCATTGCTTTTCATTAGAGCTTACAGTCACCACAAAAGCATGGTATTGGCACTTACGACAGAGCCCCAAATTACATGAGGCAAAAACTGACTGAATTGAAAGGAGAAATACACAAACCAACAGCAATAGCTGAAGATTTCAATATCCTACTTTAAATAATCGATCGAACAACCTAGGCAGAAGATCAACAAGGAAATAGAGAACCTGAACAACAGTATAAACCTATAAATCTATAGAACATGCTACCTAACAGCAACAGAATATACATTCTTCTCAAACGCACCTAGAATTTTCTCCAAGATAGACTACATGTGATATCATAAAATAAGCTTCAAGAATTTTAAAAGGAATGAAATCATATAAAGTATGTTTTTTTTTTTTAGCACAACAGAATTAAATTAAAAATCAATAACAGGAGGAATTTGGGACATTCACATACATGTGGAAATTAAATAAAACATTCCTAAGTAACCAATGGGTCAAGAAAGAAATCACAAGGGAAATTGGAAAATATTTTGAGATGAAGAAAAATGAAGATACAACATACCAGAACTTATGAGAACTAGCTAAATTAGTGTTTGAGAACGAATTTATAGCTGCAAATGCCTACATTACAAAAGAAGAAAGATTTCACATCAATAACCTAAACTTCCACCTTAAGGGACTTGAAGAAGAAGAGCAAACTAAATACAAAGCAAACAGAAGGAAAGATATAGTCAATTATAGAGGATAGAAAAATAATAGAGAAAAATCAATGAAACTAAAAGTCGATTCTTTGAGAGGGAAAGGTCAAGGAGGCCTGGAGTCGGCCTTAACTGCCTTATAGGATACGAAGTTCCACTCTGCAGTTCACACAGGGTTTCTCTGAAACTCACCCTCAGGGGAGAGTGGCCAGGTGCAGGGCTGACCTCTGGCATGGGAGGCCCAAGACAGGCCAGTTCCAGGTGGACTTTGAGTCACCTGGCCAAGCCCTGTGCTAGGAGGGAGAGCTCTGCAGACAGCCAGAGAGGTTGCACAAGGTTCCCCTCTCTGGGCTCTTCCAAGTCCAAGAGCAGTTTGCCATAGATAAGGATTGTAAAAGGACCCACTCCCTGTGGAAACTGTATTTGTGTCATATGATTTATGACAGTAAATTTTCTCTGTTGAGCTTCCAGTAAAAAGAAATTGGTTCTTTGAAAAGAACAATGAAATTTACACACATTTAGCTGTACAGACCAAGCAAAAAAAAAGAGAGAGAGAGAGAGAGAAGATTCTAATTACTAAAATCAGGAATGAAAGAAGGGCCAATACTACTGACTCTACAGATATGGAATTGATTATAAATGAATATCATGAATAAATTTATGCCAAAATATTAGATAACCTAGATGAAATGAACAAATTCCTAGAAATACACAAACTATGAAAACTGACTAAAGGAGAAAAAAAAACAAATAGGCCAATAACAGGAAAAGAAATAGAATTAGGAATTAATAATCCACCCTGTTGATAAATAAATAAATAAAGCCCAGGCCAAGATGGTTCTGCCGGTGAGTTTTTCCAAATGTTCAAAGAAGCATTTATACTAATTCTTCACAAACCCTTCCAAAAAATAGAAGAGAAGTGACCACTTCTCAACTCATTTTATGAGGCCGATATTATACCAAAGATTGTCTGATACCAAAACCAGACAAGGACATCACAAGAAACTATAGAGCAATATTTCTTACAAATACAGATGCAAAGTTCCTCAACAAAATACTAGCAATCTGAATCTAGCAACATATAAAAAGAATTATATACCATGACCAAATGAGATTTATTGCAGGAATGAAAGGATAGTTTAAGCTCCAAAAATTAGTTAATGTAATTTACCATGTTAATAGAATAGAGAACAAACACCATATGATCATCTCAATGGACACAGAAAAATCATTTGTCAAAATCTACCATCCTCTCATGATAAAACTTGACAAGCTAGAAATTAAAGAGAACTTCTTCCACCTGAGAAAGGTAATCTATGAAAAACTCACAGCCAATATCATATTTGATGGTGAAAGACTGAAAGCTTTTCGAAGATCAGGAAAATGTCCAGGATCTCTGTTTTCACCATTTCTATTCGACATTATACTAGAAGGTCTATTAGACAGTAAAATGGACAATAAGACAGTACAATTAGACAGTAAAATGAAATATAAGGCATCCAGATTGGAAAGGAAGAAGTAAAAGTATCTCTATTTGCTAATGAGATATTCTTGTACATAAAAAAAATCCCAAGCAATCCACTAATAATAAACTATTAGAAATAAACAAGAAGCTCAGCAAGGTTACAGGATAAAGGCTTAATATACAAAAAGCAATTGTATTTTTAAACACCAGCAATGAACAATCTGATAATGAAATTAGGAAACAATTCTATTTACAATAGCACCAAAAATAAGAAAATATTTAGGCATACATTTAACAAAAGAACAAGCCATGTACACTGGAAACTACAAAATATTGATGAAAGAAATTTTAAAAAATTTAAATAAATGGAAAGACATTTTGTATTCATGGATTCGAAAACTTATTATTAAGATGGCAATACTTTCCAAATTGATCTATAGATTCATTGCAGTCCCTTTCAGAATCCCAGCTGACTTTGTAGACATTGACAGGCTGATATAAAAATTCATATGGGATTACAAGAGACCCAGAATAACCAAAGTAATCTTTAAAAAGGACAGATTAGGGAGACTGGGAAAAATGGCATAAGTGATAGAAGCTTTGTTCATCCCCTCTTGAGACCACATCAAAGCTGTGACAGAAACACAGAGCAAACAACAAGCAGAGTCACCTGGGGTCCAGATAAACAGAAGCACTACAACTAGGGAGAGAAATAAGAAATCACCCTGCAACGGTTAGAGGGGGTGAGGACGTGAGGATTCCCAGTCCCCAGTGGCTGAGTGGGACAGAGGCTTCAACAGCTGTGGGCATTCCTCTTAAAGGGGCTGTGTCCATGACCAGACTTTCATGGTGATGGACCTGCTCTCTCTGAGCACCAAGGCCAGGTTGCCTGCTCAGGGGGTACCTGGGACTTACAGGGGGACACTGAGTTGTCAGAGTCAGAGCGAGGGTCAGAGGTGAGGCTTTCCCCCAGGCAGAAGTGCTGGTGGTATCTATTGTTCCTTTGCTGAGCCCCGCCCCCCCACTTCCCAGCGTGCAGACACAGCACTGCCATAGCTGAGATGTCATTGAACTAGATAACAGAGGTTGTTCTGCCCAGAGGATTCCCTGAAACTTTGCCTCCTTCAACTCATGGCCCTACACAAGCCACATCCAGTTGTGTCCACAGCGAGTCCTGTGACACTTGCTGAGCAGTGCCAACACTCACACTGGTGGCAGCTGGCCTTGGTTTCTGGCATGGCCTCTTGAAGCAACCATAAGCATAGCATCTGTGGATTGCTTGTGGAATTCTTGACAGGTGGCCCTGGAGGGGTAGAGGCTTGGGCTAAACTTGGTCTGCAGCTGAACCCCTTTCAGGACTGTGCTGCAGGAAACCTACACAAAGCCACATGAATAAGACCTGGAGACTTAAGAGCTTTGATTAATACATAGAAACAGACACAGAAAGGCAGCTAAAATAGGAAGACAAAGAAGCAGAAACCATACGAGAGAACAGAACAGAGGTCC